GCATGATACAAAATCGCAAACTATGTGTGCACAGCAAAAGTGGGTTTGATGTAGAGTTCAGATGTTGCTCTTTGGTGTTTGGCAGATGCTGAATTTGTGAAACAGAGTAAGAGCCAAGAGCTTGTGGCTGTTTGGATCCAGGTGCAGTCACGGCATCAAGCTTCAGATTCTGCTGCTAAACATTGACAGCTATTTTAGATTCAGGGAGAGGTTTAGCTGCCTGTTCCTAATCAAGCAGTGATTAGTCTAAGAAGTACATACTCATTTACAGATGAAGACGCAATGAAGCACGATAACAGTTTAGTTCCCACCACAGTCGCCTGAACAGGCTGTAGTTTGTGTTTTGAATCATCAATTTCTCAGGAAAACAACCACATTTACTGTATTCTAACATTATGACCCAACTCATCATCAGAAGTTAGATATAAAAGAATGTGTTTACATTTATATTTGATCAAGTTTTGGTTAAAACTAAACAACAAACACATTTTGTTTTAAGAAAAATAGAGAAAAGGAAATTCTATTCTTTCGGCCCCCAACCTGTTCCTCGTCTTTTTATTCGGCCCCTGGACAAAATGAGTTTGACATCTCTGTCCTACAACATGAACGCAGTATTCTCCGAGACTGTGGCCAGTGGGAGACAGACCAGGTGCATTCCCAGCTTCCTCAAATGACCTCTTTTTTGCAAATGTTAGCTTTTGGGCTTAAAAGTGTTGAATAATGGTTCGTCTACGTCAAAAACATAATGTGTATTAAAGAGCCTCTGCGGCAGCATGGAGCACTTTACTTCAAGTACTTTTGCATTATATTTTGGACACTTTCCTGTAAGTGATTAAAATACTTTCCATGTATGGTGAGAAAAATCAGTATAGGCACATTTAAGGATGAGCAGATGAAGCCAACGCAGATAGAAATCGCCCGGGTCCACATCTGACAATTTCAACATCGAGGACGAGGATGACATAGAAGCCTCTAATTTTAAAATTATTATAAAATATTGTTGTCAAAACAGAGAAAACAATATATAATAAAAACGCTGTTTGTTGTTTATTAGCTGTTTATCAGCTGTTTATTAGCAGCACAGCGTCTCTGCCCATGTCTGTGGTATGGCCCTGTGTCCACCACATGGAGCTAAATGGCTGCTATTGTCAGCCACTAAAAGTGTTAGGATCTTGTCAACTTGTAGAAAATGTGTTTTTGGAGTAAATATGTGACATACTATTTGGCCCAAGATGAAGAATGCCCCCAATTTGGCTAGACTTATTTCCGGAGGGATCTGAAAACAAATTTACTCTGGATCGAGGACATAGGGCTCTATGTGACGGATTGCCATTGTTGGAAAAAAAAGTTTATTCTCAGGTCTAAAATGACTACGTACTGGTGAACAGCTTGTGTGTTTACAAAGTCAGTGTGAAGCTACGTCATTGTGCGGGTGGGGGGAAAGGGGCTCACAGGGAAAGGAGCAGAGATCAGCTTGTTGTATGGTGTATCACCCAAATTGTGATCACACATGTGCATAGGATGGGCTGTGAAAAATGAAGAAGAGCGCAATCTTGGACCTTTCATGTCAGCTTTCTGGAACACTACCCCCACTTGGATGTAGGTTTGACAAAGCCCTGGGCCCTGATGTAGCGAGATCCATCCAAACCGAATTATCATTTTGAGCACAAACACACACAGCTGACATAAATATTCTTTATGCACTGAAGAAAAGATGATTCTTTCTCTGCCCGATCTGCACTCGAGACGAACCAACGACAACGCCTCCATAAAAATGCTTTATCCCCTTTTGAGAACAGTGTTTACCAGCAGAACACGCCATTTCCACGCTGGAGAATTCTTGGATCGCCGCTTCAGCAATCTGACATAAACCCACTGAATTTAAGGTCCCCCCCGCTGCTTTTGGAGATCCCAGCTCATCCTATTCGCTACAGTTAGGTGTATGCATGCATGTGTTTTTCCGGTCTGCCTTAAAAACCCTGGGGTCACAGCACGGATCCAGTGGTGGTTGTTAGCGCCATGTGTGGCAGAGGAGGAGGCAGGTCTTGGGTTTACAGAGAAGGCTGAGGTGGATGCTCTGGTTGGCGTTGTCAATGTTGTTTTGTCACTTCACACATTTCACCACACACTTACCCTACATGCAACATCAAAAGCATTTAACTTTGATAATAACACTAATACATTTTAATAATGTTGCACCTTACATTTCCCCAAAACCTCAAAGTGCTACCGATCAACTTTAGAGGCTGTGCCAGGTCCAGACCAAATGTAATTGTTTACCTCAGACCTGTGCCAACAGCTTAGCCCAGTGTTTCTGTATACTTTGACACAATCACTGAAAACACTGTTATTTGTTCAAAAAGGCAACCCCTTCTTTTCACTCAATGGCTTTAGACCCACAACTTTAACCTGCAGCCTCTAAACAAGCAACCATTGATTTGAAAGATTACACGCTTTTGTCGAATTGTCTTCATTTTGTGTTATCTTTCAAATGAAATGTCTCTGTCCAGTTCTGATTTTGCTTATGTTTTTGTTATGGATCATATATTTCTTGTTTTTTTTGTGTGGACATTCCCACAACCGGAGCTTCAAGTGTTCCCTCAGCTGCGTGACTAAATACATTGTGTACTTTTTGCCAAATATGAGCCATTTTTCACTTTTGCTTTGTGCGTATAGACTCACTGCTGGGTCCATTCACAGGCATCCTCTCCACAGACCAGAGAAAGATATTGGGTGTCTCCAAAAGCATCGATCGCACCTCTACACAGCGCTCGCACAACAAACGGGAGCAGAATTCACAAACGCCTCCAAGGTTAGGAGTCCACGCAGAGAGCAAAAAAAAAAAATAAACTTGAATAGAGTGTTTTTTAGTTTCGAAAGCTTTGAAAAGGCGGAGGAACATCGCATCGCTCGCACATACAATGGTTTATCAAGTCTGGTTCAAACGGTAAGCAGTCTAATACCGAGGGTCAGAGAGTTTTTTTCAATTCTCTTTTTAATATTTGGTGCAAAGTCAGGTCCGGTCTCATATTTCCTTGCATGACTGTATAGAGCTGCACTGCAAAAAGTGATGAAAAACCAGCCAGAAGTTGCTCAAATTTGCCAAAATACTGTATGTTTTAATTTGAGTATATTCTGACTGTCTTACAATGAGATTTGCCAATGGGAAAAACACAATTATCTTGTTTCCAAAAAGATAGAAGAAATATCTCCCTAGGAAAGAGAAAATAAAGCAACAGTTCTTGAAATAAGACTAAAAGGCTTTTTCCCATTGGCAAATCTTGTCAAAATGTGTTCAGAATAAGAAAAAAAAAAACCTTGATTCATTTATTACCTCCTCTTTTATCATTTTTTGCAGTGTGCATATCCGATTACAAGTTTGGCAACAATATGTGACGTGACATTTTGCAAGAGTAATGCTTGCGATGATTAAAGTCGTCATTTGCGATTAGATTGGCCGCTCCAGTCTGGCGGCGTTGGTCTCATGGCAGACAAATAATTATGTCAACGTCAGCGACTGGAGATATTTAAGAGTTTGAGTTCATCTTTATCCAAATGCACCTAAAGTCAAGATGCAGTGCTACACAGATCTGCAATTCATTTTCATTTCATTTATTCATTTATTTCAGACAATGGAACAGATAAGTACAAGGTATATATGTATGTCATATAGGGCAAAAACTAGAATATTACACATAATTTGTATTTCAGGAATAAATACAAATAAAAAGGAACAGAAAAATAATAGAAAAGTGCAGTAGTGTTTTGACGTTTCTGATTGGTCCATTGGTTCAAAATGAATAACATAAATATAATGTCCTGGATAAAAAAATGAAATAGGGTTTTTAAAGCTTCTAGAATGCAAGGGGAGGTGGCCTTTTTGTGGAATTGAATGGAATGGAAATTCTTTTACACTTTTATTTTTGTCAACTGGAGCAGTGGCTGATATTGCTGTGATAAGTAAGTAATCTTTATTTATATAGCGCCTTTCACAGATTTTTTTCTTCCCTAGATATTGGAAAATAAAACATAAAAACCTAACTTTAACCCTAAATATTGTACAGCAATATTAGCAATGATCATAGATAAATAATGAGAACCAGAGAAGATGTGAAAGATGGTAAAGGACAAATATAGCATGCCTTGAATATGTTTTTACACAGAGAATTCACATTAAAAAAAAAAAAAACAGTTTTTTTATCTGTATAAACAAGTAGCAATATAGATATTTATTTTGTACATATACTATTTTTAAAGGATGCCCTGGAAAGGCACCGGTTTAGGTGGTCACCATTATGTTACTCATTCTAGATTGACCAGAACGGAAAACCAAGGAAAATCCAAAAGTTCCATTCAAACATGTATTTTCCTGTTACAATAAATGCCAATAAGTTCATCCCTGCTCTGTCCCTGTCCGAACCCGAGTTGGCTCTGCGGGGGATCTTCAGTGCTTCTCAAAGTATATTTTTCCCTCCCACACAAAAATGCAGATTTATGTCGGAAACAGAATGTTCCAGACTCCCTTCAGGCCCAGCCTTTGAGTCTTCTATTACCACAGTTTTAGCTACATTGAAAACACATTGGACATATATTAATGGTAATAATCTGTGGGTTAGGGCAAGCAACAAGCAATTCATACAGAAGAAGCACATTAAGAAGCACGGGTCTAGAGCAGTGTTCCCCAACCTTTTTCAACCGCCATCACATGTCACACCACGAGCTAAAACTGACACAAAATTGAAACTCTGCAGTCTTAAATATACAAAGTCATTCTCATCAAAATGTATTATAGAAAAAATCCAACATTTCAAATCTTCTTACATCATTACCCTTTCCCATTATTTGATCAATAAAGTGATATTAGGTCATTTCCAATCAACATTTCAGGGCAAAATGTATGGACAGATACAAGAATTGTATATTGTAAGGTACACTAAGTTGCCTTGACACACACACGGTCCAAAAACACTGGTCTAGAGAAGTCGCAGCGGGAGACTTACCACCCAGAAGAGGGCCTGGTGGGCTAGAATCTCGTACCGAGGCATCGTGGAGAGAACGCTGAGGACCAGACATCCCAACACCACCAAGAATCTGCACAGAGACAAGAACCGGTCAGGAACTTTTTTTTTGGACCAGAAATGTATTAATAAAAGGGATGAAAATGAAAAACATCAATTCAAGTGGATGAAAACCTCTCAAATTATAGCTTTATTATTTCTGTGCATGTCTTTGAACCCTTTAATTCAGTAGAAAAGCGCCCGTGTTCCTGTGTGCGAGCGGAATTTGATCTTGCATCACGCCACCGACACTCACCGTCGTCTCATTGATATTTCAGCCTGGTGCAGAAAGTGGAGGATTTGAAGGACATCTCTCTGACTCGTGCGCTGCGTTTGAATACAAAACTCACGATAAACTGCTCAAATAATCAACAGAGTAAACAAACAACCCGACTGGTTCCCCCCGAAGGTCACCGAGGCTCCGCAGGCCACCGCTGCGGGAGATAAGGCTCGACATTTGAACAATTCACTTTCTTATGTTTTTCCCCCACGACTCCACAGCTGCAATTATGCACATGCCCACTCCTGCTCTCTGGGAACCCATTTGGAACAGAGCCAAAAATAAGTGTGGCCGTATCTGCAGGTGAAAAGCCAGATCCTGTCAGACCTCTGAAACTAAGCAGCGCAGGGCCTGGTAAGTAATGCGATGGGAGACCTCTGGGAACAGCAGGTTTCACAGTGGGACGGCTGAGGCTGTAAAGTGCCAAACTGTCGTGGTGTCCTGAGGCAAGACACTTCACCCCTCATTAAAATGTGTCTGGTGTGTGTGTGTGTGTGTGTGAATGGCACAGACTGGTTGCCTTGATTTTGTCAGAGTACCTCAGGGCAGTTTTAGTTTATGTTCCACGTGTATGGATTGGATGAATAGGAAATTCAGACTGGACACTGCTCTCAAAGTCCTCTCGCTGATGCTTCAGCACTCAAGCTCTGCCCTGCATCAAGCGTCATATCGCGAGGAAGATTCATTCAAGCAGCAACCCTCCTCCTTCCCATCACTGCCCTGTCTCCCTTCTACTAGCTCCCACCACCAGGATCTAGGCCCCGGGGGATTAAGCGCCAAATCTTAACCACATTACTTGTACAGCAACAATAAATGCGATCTTGCAAATACTGTCTTCAGAGTCGTGTAAGTAAGTAAGTAAGTAATCTTTATCTATTTACCGCCTTTCACAGACCAGAGTCACAAAGCGGTTTACCATTTTGTGGGGGGGGAATTTGTCCTCTCACTCCACACAGAGATGGGAGCGGGGTCGCCAGTACAGGAGGCGCATGCACAGTCCTATTGTATGTACTCATTTATGCAGTTATACCAATATACCATTCTGTTGTGTCTGTTTGAGTCTCTCCACATTGAAATGACATGTGAAGCGTCTTTGAGTGTCCAAACAAGCGCTAAATAAAACCAATGCATCATCATTATTATTATTAAAATGCACGTGGAGAACTCAGCCTTTGTTTGGCTGTTCTAGCGATGGTTCGTTTGATGAATAGTAAAAGCCTTCTAACTTTCATGTCTTTTCATCTAATTGCAGCCGTTGTATTTTTTCCCCAAATGGTGGGCAATTATTGTAATGGAGGTAGTAATTATGCAGCACGATAGAAAGAAAAAGCACAAAGCGTGGCCTAAACAAGGTCGGGATGCAGTCGGCATTGGGTTTGTCCAAAGGCAGATCAAACTAAACCCCTGATATACAGTATTACTTTGCTCCATCCATTTGGCACCAAGCAGTGATCCCTATGGTATTTAAAAGGTACATTCCAGAATATCGTTCAAACAGTTTGGTGAAAAACATTGTAGACAATTGGAGTAAAATAAATGCCTTTCTGTGGAAACTTTAAAATTCACCACAAACTGTAAGATCTTGTTGAACTTCTATTGCAGGACCATTGACAGTTTGACTTTTGCTCATGTACTCCAATGTGGTTTTACTGCAAATGGAAAATGAATGTGAATCTGAACCGTTCCTGTACATATGTTTCTTCGTGCTGCACCAGTGTCTACACGCGGCCATGACATCTACATAGAGAAGAGAAACAGCCTCAGCCCATGGACATCTATAAATAGCGCAAAATCGATGTTATTTTGTGTCCGCGGTTCATAAAGAGCCCAGTGCAGAGAAGTGTCTGTTTCACGAGAGCTGGTCCCAAACCCGTTAGTGCCTGCTGCTGTATTGACTTTTGTGGAACTGCGATTGACCTATTGGCCTACGCAATTCAATTACTCGGAGGAATGAGTGGAACAACAGACTATTTGCAGCAATGGGGAAAAACTAATATTAATAATAACAATTATAATGCATCGGTTTTATATAGCGCTTTTCAGGACATGCTTCACATGTCATTATCCATTCATCCACTCCATACACAGTGGTGATTAACTACTACTGTAGCCACAGCTGCCCTGAAGCACACTGATAGAAGCGAGGCAACCAGTGTGTGCCATCGGCCCCTCCCACCACCACCAACCATTCACACACTCATTCTGTGTTACTACTCTATTACTTAGAAGATACTTTCCCCAATATATAATTACAAACTAAATGTAGCTTATGATGCTTTTGCGTGAGGTTTTAGTTTGAAAATAAACTGGTATGTTCCACATATTTATCTCCAACGAACTCTAAATAATGAGAGTCTGTCCATCTGTAAAATGTACTACTGTCCACGTAGTACTGCTTCTGCTTCAGCCTCAGCGGTATACCAGAAAGAACAACACTTTCCTTCCAGAAAGGAAAGATACATTTGGTTAATACAATGTAACATACGTTCCTGAGCTTGGTAGTAAAATACTACAAAAGTTTGTTTTGGAATGCCTTACATTACTGTGTCACAGCAAAAATAATTACATTACAGTAGTTACATCACTTTAACGCGTTATTCACAACTCTGCATTTCACATCTGGACACAAAAAATGATCAGAATGTAATTTTTGTCACTCAATATCAAACATTGCATTGATAAAGAACATCTATTATAATAATTACTTATGAAAATCCCTGAGTATTTATATGAGGAGTTTGAACAGCCCTCTCCGACTCCCGCACTAACACTGTCTCCTACAGTCTGTTTGTTCCTGTCACAGCCCAGTGCTCACAAACAGGGGCTGATATCTGCAGCTCCGAGGCCTGGATCCGACAGAGAGGAGCTGCTCTGGACGTTTATCTCCCCCACTGTGGACAGTGGAGCTCTCAGTCCGATGAGAGGTTCTGGTTCTGTGTCAGTAGATAGTATAGACGGCGGTAGAGAGCAAGTGGTGAAAAGGTGGTACTGCACCCTAAAATCCCCAGAAAAGAGACGGCGCTCTTGAGCAAGTGGTGAAAGGTGTTACTGCACTTTGTTTTTCAAAGAGTTAGCTTCTGTTGGCCTGTGTGTGTGTGATAATGCTTTCACAGTTGTCTAAAGTGTTTTATGATCACGGTGTATTCTAAAACAAGCAGTTAGGTCAATAAACTAATTAATCTACAGGTCCTCCCTGTTAACGACACGTGTGTGTGTCTGATAGTGATGAGCGGTTGGGAGGGCGTACTAACAACAAATCAGAATGGGTGGTAGGATGGACCTGCCGTGGCCTATTAGACTGAGGAGGGTTTGTGATAGGTTGCTCTGTTTAAGGAGACCCTATATAGGCCTCTGATTACACATAAGAATAACTTTTTTTTCTACACCAAACCAGCAATGCCTACTCCTCAAAGATCTCAAACTTTTTTTTTTCATATGAGTTTTTCATTGCTGATGCAGGATGGTTTGTTACACAGTTATTGAGAAACTAGAAGGACTGTGGTGATGAGCCAGGACACTTTTAATATTCTACAACATGTAGTGGTCTATAGTCTTTATGTGTTTTAACTGCTGATTCTCCGATCTGTGTTGGTGATTTTCAGTAGTTTTTGGTAAGTCCTCTGAGATGACTACAGTTGTGATTTAGGGCTATACAAGACTAAATTGTATTGTATTGTATAGGTGTTTTTTTATTTTTTTCTGTAACAAGAGGTACTGCATCCAAACTCTGAAAGAGCGACACTTAGGTGTGTGTGTGTGTGTGTGTGTGTGTGTGTGTGTGTGTGTATGTGTGATTACCTTATCATGTGGACCAGAGTGTTGCACTAAAACAATAGTTGTTATTTTCCAACTGGTACACCAGTATGAACGATCCGTGTGAAACTCACCTGATGACAAAGGTTCCGTGGAGCAAAAACACATATATTTTTAGTCACGTTTATCAATCGTAATTAATGCGTTATAATCCTAACCCTATTCATAAGGTAGTAGTCTCTATATCAATTTAATTGTCCAATACAATAAAAATAAGAACCCTATATACATATATGTACACAGTTTGAAACAGAGTAGGTAGATGTGAAACTAAGGTCCTTGGTACAGGTTTTCTTTTACACGAGATCAAATGATTTAAAGGCGTACATCTCTCAGATATACAATTGACACTTGTTACCATAAATAGTCATCTTAAAGACTGATTAAACAACCATATTACATACCTTAAACATTATGTACAACATTTTACCAAAACACAAACCAGTAATTAAACATTATGTACAACATTTTACCAAAACACAAACCATTAATTAAAATCCAGATTTTCTTATTATGTAACACTCTCATATTTATTGAGTATAGTAGTTTTGTTGTTTCTTAAAAACCATGATTTTTATTTTGACTCTTTAATGTCTTTGTTAAGTTGATTCCTTCCAGAGACCATTCTTCCCATGACTTTAGTTCTGAATCTAGTTTTTATTAAAGATATCAGTTACAGATTGTATCGACTTTGTCTTTTTTTTCCAAAGTTCTCGTAGATGTTTTGCAATTTACCTTATACAATGTAGGATAAATAGTATAATCCACTATAACATATAATTTTAACACCAAGCACTCAAAAACAGGATTTGATGAATCTCGATATATTTTCCTTCTGGTCTTTTTTAACTATAGGCTGTGTTAAACGTTGTCTCCAAATGTTGACAACATAGGTGAGGTCGGTATAATCATTCTAGTATCTAAGGTCAGTAATGCTGAGC